TGAATACATAGCCTATTTATTCCTGTTACACTCTGAACATACCATTATTACATCAATATGTATTTAGCTGATCAAAACCCGAAATACTTTGCAAAATACGGGGAATTACTTTGAACCTGCATTGTATTATAGTTGTATTAGCTGTCTCAGAACTGTAACCAAATGAATTGTAAATCTAACTACTGTAACGTCTATATATTAGAAATAAATTTTGTATTTATTTTATATATGTAATGCCCTAACTGCTTCATGTCCCTTCAACATCTAGTCTAGCAGGTATACTTTTCCTGTTAGGAATACTTAACATGTTAGGAATATTTTTCATGTTTAGGATATTTCTCACAGGTTTTCTTCGGAATATTTTTCATACTAAATATTTCTCACATTAGGGATATTTATGTTAGATGTATTTTGTAACTTTGTATATATCTCTTATGTCATGTTAGGAATATTTCTCATGTTAGCAATATTTTTCGTTGGGAATATTTTTCATGTTAGCAATATAACATACGAGGAATATTTCTCGTATTAGGACCGTTTCTCTTTTTTAACAATATTTCCCGTGTTAGGAATATATCTCCTGTTAGAAATAACCTAATTTGTAAAGTCAAATGCAACCTAACACCCATTAAGATTAAAGAAAACAGATGAACTCCGTGTAAACTGAGACAGCTGGTTGTTTGTGATTAAAAGGCGAAGGAGCCGCCAGGGGGTGGGTGAGTGGGTAGCTGGGACGGTGGGTGGGTAGCTGGGACGGTGGGTGGGTGGGTAGCTGGGACGGTTGGTGAGTGGGTAGCTGGGACGATGAGTGAGTGGGTAGCTGGGACGGTGGGTGAGTGGGTAGCTGGGACGATGAGTGAGTGGGTAGCTGGGACGGTGGGTGGATGAGTGGGTAGCTGGGACGGTGGGTGAGTGAGTGGGTAGCTGGGACGATGGGTGAGTGAGTGGGTAGCTGGGACTGTGGGTGAGTGAGTGGGTAGCTGGGACGGTGGGTGAGTGAGTGGGTAGCTGGGACGGTGGGTGAGTGGGTAGCTGGGACGGTGGGTGAGTGGGTAGCTGGGACGGTGGGTGAGTGGGTAATTGGGACGGTGGGTGAGTGAGTGGGTAGCTGGGACGGTGGGTGAGTGGGTAGCTGGGACGGTGGGTGAGTGGGTAGCTGGGACGGTGGGTGAGTGGGTAATTGGGACGGTGGGTGAGTGAGTGGGTAGCTGGGACGGTGGGTGAGTGGTTAGCTGGGACGGTGAGTGGGTAGCTGGGACAGTGAGTGGGTAGCTGGAACAGTGGGCGGGTGATTTGTGGGTGGTAGGTGGCGAGCGGGTAGTGACGTAGGTAGATGGGCGGTCTCTGTCTTGGGTTAATTAATTTTATTCACCAAAGTTGCGAGCGCTAATTTGTTACTTTTTTAGATTATTTAAAACTGCCGCACCTTCTAGGAATATAGGCAAGTCTTGTTATGTGGGTGGCTGGGAATACAGGAGTCTTGCTATGTGGGTGGCTGGGAATACAGGAATCTTATGTGGGTGGCTGGGAATACAGGAGTCTTGCTATGTGGGTGGCTGGGAATACAGGAGTCTTGTTATGTGGGTGGCTGGGAATACAGGAGTCTTGTTATGTAGGTGGCTGGGAATACAGGAGTTTTGCTATGTGGGTGGCTGGGAATACAGGAGTCTTGTTATGTGGGTGGCTGGGAATACAGGAGTTTTGCTATGTGGGTGGCTGGGAATACAGGAGTCTTGTTCTGTGGGTGGCTGGGAATACAGGAGTCTTGCTATGTGGGTGGCTGGGAATACAGGAGTCTTGTTATGTGGGTGGCTGGGAATACAGGAGTCTTGCTTTGTGAGTGGGTGGGAATACAGGAGCCTTGTTATGTGGGTGTCTGGGAATACAGGAGTCTTGCTATGTGGGTGGCTGGGAATACAGGAATCTTATGTGGGTGGCTGGAAATACAGGAGTCTTGCTATGTGGGTGGGTGGGAATACAGGAGTCTTGTTAGGTGGGTGGCTGGGAATACAGGAGTCTTGCTATGTGAGTGGCTGAGAATACAGGAGTCTTGTTATGTGGGTGGCTGGGAATACAGGAGTCTTGCTTTGTGGGTGGGTGGGAATACAGGAGTCTTGTTATGTGGGTGTCTGGGAATACAGGAGTCTTGCTATGTGGGTGGCTGGGAATACAGGAGTCTTATGTGGGTGGCTGGAAATACAGGAGTCTTGCTATGTGGGTGGGTGGGAATACAGGAGTCTTGTTATGTGGGTGTCTGGGAATACAGGAGTCTTGCTATGTGGGTGGCTGGGAATACAGGAGTCTTATGTGGGTGGCTGGAAATACAGGAGTCTTGCTATGTGGGTGGGTGGGAATACAGGAGTCTTGTTAGGTGGGTGGCTGGGAATACAGGAGTCTTGCTATGTGGGTGGGTGAGAATACAGGAGTCTTGTTATGTGGGTGTCTGGGAATACAGGAGTCTTGCTATGTGGGTGGCTGGGAATACAGGAGTCTTGTTATGTGGGTGGCTGGGAATACAGGAGTTGTTATGTGGGTGTCTGGGAATACAGGAGTCTTGTTATGTGGGTGACTGGGAATACAGGAGTCTTGTTATGTGGGTGGCTGGGAATACAGGAGTCTTGTTATGTGGGTGACTGGGAATACAGGAGTCTTGTTATGTGGGTGGCTGGGAATACAGGAGTCTTGTTATGTGGGTGGCTGGGAATACAGGAGTCTTGTTATGTGGGTGACTGGGAATAAAGGCAAGTCATACTATGTGGGTGACTGGGAATAAAGGCAAGTCATACTATGTGGGTGACTGGGAATGCTTTTGTTTTCTAACGATACAGTTCACGTAATGCAGACCTTTTTGATTTATGTGGCTATTTGCATCCGTATTAAGTCACCCGTTTTATGCTCCATGTGTTTTAACAGCTCTTTACACATGTTAAACACCATGACACAAAAAGACCCCAGTTGAAATAAGTCACTTTGACTTTTTTGGGGATATCCTAGGTTCTCTACAAATAAACAACCCGCACATGTCAATGGTCCAAGACGGACCGAAACGTCGTCGTGAGCTCCTCTCTCCTATGTGTGGATTATTTGTGTATTGTTTCAGTCATGGTATTGTGACTTTATGTTATTTTGTACACATATGCTGCTATGCATAATCTATGTAATTGTGTGTGTATACCTGAATAAACTTACACAGAAACTTCAGCCATATCATCAAACCCGTCAACCAGTTGTTATTTTTATATTCACAAAGTTAAACCAGTATAGTTAATTCATCGATGTCATATCTATCATTGGCTTTTTAACAGGAATAAATCTGGTGAATGGAAATCTTTCAGCCTTCGTAATACTCGCTATTTAATATTGGATCAACTTTTTCCATCGCATTTATAATAAAAAAAATCACTATATAGATTAACTCTGTCTATAGAACTTAAATTTGCAGTTTTGAAAAAAAAAAAATAATTTAACGCAAGATTCGAAATATCTTGAATTTAGCATTTGGGAAGCTGGTTATCTCATCAAGGGTCATCCCATTTTTTTTTTTTTGCGCCGCCAGATATATAAATCTGCAATAGCCAACAGACAATTTTAGTTAAGGAATGATGTGTACCAGAGCGTAGCTGCAGCTTTTGGCCATCTGACCGAGGCCTTCAGCTGGCTTACCAAGCCACCCCTTTAAAAATTTGGGTTATAATTATAACCATTATTCATGGAGAGACGCTGAAACCATAGCACCACCTGGATAATGGGAAGTAACTAGGTAGGAGATAGAGAAGGGGGAAGGTAACTCATATTCCCTGGATCAAGAGCTTTTTACCAGCATCACGGCACCACCTCTCTAGAAGGCACAACAAATTACAACATCGACGAGTAAACAGTTTAATCGAATTACTGATTAGTTTAAATATCGTTGTTTTATTCTTTATATTAACGGAATGTTGCATCAGTTTAAACTGGTGGGATTTATATATTAGTAGTTTTAGTAAATGTTTATATATATATTTTAATGTACTTAGCAATATGAATAAAAATTAAGTATTGATGTGGGCGAGTTACTTAAAAAAATATATTACAAAGAAGTGTATAGACACTGTTTAGTGTTTCAAGGAAAATGAATTTATGGAACATGCTATTATTAATGTAATTATTAAATAGAGACAAAAGTGCTGCTGGTCTGTATGAAGCAAATGTGTGATACAGAGAGAGAGAGAGAGAGAGAGAGAGAGAGAGACCTAACTGCCTTTCGTTTTGAAGTTCAATGTGGGTGTTAGAAGAAAACTCCAGATTATTAACCACAGAGGCCTAATAATCCAGGATAAATCAAGTAAGTCAGTCAGTGTAACTTATAGCTAATGGCGTCCTCAGGTTCTGCCCCTAGATGCCTAATGGGGTCTTTCTCAGGTCCTGCACCTAGGTGCAGCCTACTACAGTCGACAAACTCCCGGGTACCTACTTACTGCTTGGTGGACACGGGCGTAAGATGTTAGACTTGCTCGAATGTATCCCCTCACCCAGGATTGAACCCGGGTGAGGCGACTGTGACCCCATAACTCTGGTGATGTATGTCATTGTGAGTAACATAGGCTAGGAGGTGCCTACGAGTTTAGTAAGAAATTTTGTGTCTGTATGTGGATGTTCCTTATGTACTGGGCCCGTGATGTGGTCAGTGAACTTTTATGTGGGAGATGTCATCTCTATTCTAGGTCATAATAGTGACCTATTATAGGTGAAATTAGTGTAATTGTGAACTCTAATAGGCGAGATTATCGTAGTAGTAATATAAGTGCAAAGGTGACCTTTTTTAAAGGTGAGATTGGTGTAGTTGTGACCTATCATGGGTGAGGAAAGTGTACTGGTGACTCAGTATAGGGGGAATGATATAACATAGGCGAGGTGACTTAGACATTAAAAGTGACCTAATATTTTATAGGCGAGGTGACCTAACATAGGCAGGAGTCAGCGTAGAGAGAGAGAGAGGTCATAGCTGTCTGAGTACTTACTATCATATCCGCCGTCGTAGTAGTCTTCCTGAGGCTTGGGTTTGGGGTCAGGCTCGGCTGCTGCCCATGGCGCTGCCGCTGAGAACAGCAGGAGTAGCAGCAGCAGGGAGGGTAGCTGGGGAGGCCGCCTAGCGGCAGCTGGGAGCCGCCACATGGTGGGACGCTCGGCGTCGGCGGCGTCAGCGACCCTCCGGCGGCGTCGGGGGGGGTGGGGGGGGGCTGCTGGGGTGTGCCGTCGGAGCCGTGTGCCCGCGGCAGACAACCACTCTGTACTGAACCCAGGCCCCCACCGCACTGAGGTGCCCATGCCCAGCACGCCCTCCCGGCGCTCCCATCACGCCCACGCCCCCCCGCCACGCCCACGACACCACCCCTGCCGCCCCCGCCTTCGTCACGTCCGTCAGTGCGCAACCCACAAACACTGTACACTCCCCTTACAACACTACTTTATAGTGACACTCAAAATGTTCCCCAATAGACTTATCAAATTAGAAATTAAAAAAAAATAAGGGCAAGGAACATTAAAAAACACATTTGCAACAGTTAGACAACTTTATTCCGAAACGTTTCGCCTACACAGTAGGCTTCTTCAGTCGAATACAGAAAGTAGGCAGGAACAGTAGAGATGTTAGGTAAGACACATATGCAACAGTTAGGTATCTTTATTGTGAAACGTTTCGCCTACACAGTAGGCTTCTTCAGTCAAGTACAGAAAAGTTGATAGAAGCAGAAGATACTTGAAGACGATGTAATCAGTCCATCACCCTTAAAGTTTTGAGGTGGTCAGTCCCTCAGTCTGGAGAAGAGCATTGTTCCATAGTATGAAACAATATGGAGAAGAAGTGACAGGATGGAGCTTTTTATAGCCCCAAGAGGTGAGACGTAGGCCACTAGGAGAGGTAAGATCTCAGATGTTGAGAAGGCAGGTCCCTCTCAAATCCAGCCTCTCTCACTGGTGGAAGTTGTCGAAGTTGATTGCAGGTCTGTACCAAGATACCCTTGTGTTGCAGTGTCTGACAAGATGAACATCAAAATGGTATACAATACCGACAGGTTGTTAGGTAAGACACATTTGCAACAGTTAGACAACTTTATTCCGAAACGTTTCGCCTACACAGTAGGCTTCTTCAGTCGCAACACAAGGGTATCTTGGTACAGACCTGCAATCAACTTCGACAACTTCCACCAGTGAGAGAGGCTGGATTTGAGAGGGACCTGCCTTCTCAACATCTGAGATCTTACCTCTCCTAGTGGCCTACGTCTCACCTCTTGGGGCTATAAAAAGCTCCATCCTGTCACTTCTTCTCCATATTGTTTCATACTATGGAACAATGCTCTTCTCCAGACTGAGGGACTGACCACCTCAAAACTTTAAGGGTGATGGACTGATTACATCGTCTTCAAGTATCTTCTGCTTCTATCAACTTTTCTGTACTTGACTGAAGAAGCCTACTGTGTAGGCGAAACGTTTCACAATAAAGATACCTAACTGTTGCATATGTGTCTTACCTAACAACCTGTCGGTATTTTATACCATTTTAATGTTCAACAGTAGAGATGTGAAGACGATGTAATCAGTCCATCACCCTTAAAGTCGTAGAATTTGAGGTTGTCAGTCCCTCGGCCTGGAGAAGTTCAGTTCCATAGTCAGGAACTATCTGAAGATCAAGCGACAGTGCGGAGACTTAAATACTGTCGGAAGGAGAGGTGCAGGGTAGTAGTAGTAGTAGTAGTAGTAATAGTAGTAGTGAGAGGCAACTGAGAGGTCATGTCCCTCTCAGATCCAACCCTTCTCACTTGAAAAGCTTGTTCAAGGTGTTTTCTGTACCAAGATGCCACGTGTTGCAGTGTCTGACAAGATGAACATCAAAATGGTATACAATACCGACAGGTTGTTAGGTAAGACACATTTGCAACAGTTAGACAACTTTATTCCGAAACGTTTCGCCTACACAGTAGGCTTCTTCAGTCGAATACAGAAAGTAGGCAGGAACAGTAGAGATGTGAAGACGATGTAATCAGTCCATCACCCTTAAAGTCGTAGAATTTGAGGTTGTCAGTCCCTCGGCCTGGAGAAGTTCAGTTCCATAGTCAGGAACTATCTGAAGATCAAGCGACAGTGCGGAGACTTAAATACTGTCGGAAGGAGAGGTGCAGGGTAGTAGTAGTAGTAGTAGTAGTAATAGTAGTAGTGAGAGGCAACTGAGAGGTCATGTCCCTCTCAGATCCAACCCTTCTCACTTGAAAAGCTTGTTCAAGGTGTTTTCTGTACCAAGATGCCACGTGTTGCAGTGTCTGACAAGATGAACATCAAAATGGTATACAATACCGACAGGTTGTTAGGTAAGACACATTTGCAACAGTTAGACAACTTTATTCCGAAACGTTTCGCCTACACAGTAGGCTTCTTCAGTCGAGTACAGAAAGTAGGCAGGAACAGTAGAGATGTGAAGACGATGTAATCAGTCCATCACCCTTAAAGTCGTAGAATTTGAGGTTGTCAGTCCCTCGGCCTGGAGAAGTTCAGTTCCATAGTCAGGAACTATCTGAAGATCAAGCGACAGTGCGGAGACTTAAATACTGTCGGAAGGAGAGGTGCAGGGTAGTAGTAGTAGTAGTAGTAGTAATAGTAGTAGTGAGAGGCAACTGAGAGGTCATGTCCCTCTCAGATCCAACCCTTCTCACTTGAAAAGCTTGTTCAAGGTGTTTTCTGTACCAAGATGCCACGTGTTGCATCTTGGTACAGAAAACACCTTGAACAAGCTTTTCAAGTGAGAAGGGTTGGATCTGAGAGGGACATGACCTCTCAGTTGCCTCTCACTACTACTATTACTACTACTACTACCCTGCACCTCTCCTTCCGACAGTATTTAAGTCTCCGCACTGTCGCTTGATCTTCAGATAGTTCCTGACTATGGAACTGAACTTCTCCAGGCCGAGGGACTGACAACCTCAAATTCTACGACTTTAAGGGTGATGGACTGATTACATCGTCTTCACATCTCTACTGTTCCTGCCTACTTTCTGTATTCGACTGAAGAAGCCTACTGTGTAGGCGAAACGTTTCGGAATAAAGTTGTCTAACTGTTGCAAATGTGTCTTACCTAACAACCTGTCGGTATTGTATACCATTTTGATGTTCAACATTAAAAAAAATTATGAAGTGACGAGTGTTTTTTTCGTGTCTGCCCGAAATGCCTAGTCCTACTAGGCATAATAGTGTCCCTCTTTGTAATTAGTACTTTATAATATGAAACCATACATTGTAACCTATACTCTATAATATTAAACCCCACATCGTAATTTTTACAGAGAAATAAATATTTGTATGTGTTAAAAAAATCACTGACTCACTGCATGATTGGCTACAACGAACATTGAAACCACAAAGTTTATTAAATAGTTTAGAAACAGGAGTAGATACTGATGACAGGACATGTACACAAATAGGTATATGTCTTTCAGTGTATAATAAACACTGGGCGCTTATTTTAATCCGTATTTTAGGCATACAAATATTTTTCATTGCAGTCTTAATAACCCTCGTGTGGTCAATAGGCTTTAGACTCAGTTACCTGATGGCAAGAATTTAGATATCCAGCTTCAAGAATCTGGATTATCAAGTAATAACGATGAAATGGGGTGTATACTAATAAGTATTTTATGTATGTATCCATATTTGAGTCGTGTGTGTCTAAGTCATAATGGAAGTTTATTTTCCTTCATCAAACGATGATGGTAAGATGATCAGGAACTCAATTGTGGTTTGATGGAAAATAATTTGTTGTGCCTAACTCAAGACTAACGTTGCTGCCACCGAATGTTGAAAAAGTGCTAGAAAATACTCCGATGACTCGAACTACCTGGGGAAGATTGATGTATCATCGTTGAATCTGCTTGTTCGTGGCCCTGGACCCAGGGACCCAGCAAGTAATGGTTTCTTTCTGTTTGCTAGAAATGCGATATAACCATTGTTGTATATGAAGTACAATAGGAAAAACTGTCGACTTTCTGCATAACTTTTAATGCACTTTGGACAGTTACAATGTGTAACAAAATAAACAAAACAGAACAACGTCCAGTATTGGGCCCCTACTTAAACAAGATGGGTCCTACACAGATGACAGCAAGGAAATGAGTGAGCTACTCAAGTCCCAATATGACTCAGTTTTTAGCAAGCCGCTAACCAGACTGAGAGTCGAAGATCAAAATGAATTTTTTTATGAGAGCCACAGAATTTGGTTAACACAAGCCTATCTGATGTTATCCTGATGCCAAATGACTTCGAACAGGCGATAAATGACATGCCCATGCACTCTGCCCCAGGGCCAGACACATGGAACTCCGTGTTCATCAAGAACTGCAAGAAGCCCCTATCACGAGCTTTTACCATCCTATGGAGAGGGAGCATGGACACAGGGGTCGTCCCACAGATACTAAAAACAACAGACATAGCCCCACTCCACAAAGGGGGCAGCAAAGCAACAGCAAAGAACTACAGACCGATAGCACTAGCATCCCATATCATAAATATCTTTGAAAGGGTCTTAAGAAGCAAGATCACCACCCATCTAGAAACCTATAAATTACACAACCCAGGGCAACATGGGTTTCGAACAGGTCGCTCCTGTCTGTCAACTATTGGATCACTACGACAAGGTCCTAAATGCACTAGAAGACAAAAATAATGCAGATGTAATATATACAGACTTTATATAAAGCCTTCGACAAGTGTGACCATGGCGTAATAGCGCACAAAATGCGCGCTAAAGGAATAACAGGAAAAGTCGGTCGATGGATCTATAATTTCCTCACTAACAGAACACAGAGTAGTAGTCAACAGAGTAAAGTCCGAGGCAGCTACGGTGAAAAGCTCTGTTCCACAAGGCACAGTACTCGCTCTCATCTTGTTCCTCATCCTCATATCTGACAAAGACAAGGATGTCAGCCACAGCACCGTGTCTTCCTTTGCAGATGACATCCGAATCTGCATGACAGTGTCTTCCATTGCAGACACTGCAAGGCTCCAGGCGGACATCAACCAAATCTTTCAGTGGGCTGCAGAAAACAATATGAAGTTCAACGATGAGAAATTTCAATTACTCAGATATGGTAAACACGAGGAAATTAAATCTTCATCAGAGTACAAAAGAAATTCTGGCCACAAAATAGAGCGAAACACCAACGTCAAAGACCTGGGAGTGATCATGTCGGAGGATCTCACCTTCAAGGACCATAACATTGTATCAATCGTATCTGCTAGAAAAATGACAGGATGGATAATGAGAACCTTCAAAACTAGGGATG